GTTTTTTTGCTTTGAAGAGAATTGATTTAGAAAGTTCTGCAAGCATTTTATAAAATATCCAATTTAGGTGCTAGAGGGGGCGTATAAACTTTTTTCTGATCAATTTATACTGTTTTTGAGTTGAATTACAGTATTAGTGTATTTTACAGTGTTTGATAATTGAATTGCAATATTTATTTCGTGCGTAGGCTTCACTTGCAGACAATTCAGTGTCAATTCGTATGTAGGGTCTACTCAGTTATTTGAGATGGTCCTTTGTCAATTCAACTACAAGCTACCAGAAAAATAAGTTTCTCTTGTTATAATTAAGTTTTCCTTCTGTGCATTAGACCGATTGGAACGTAGCTGAACACTGTTGATCAATGCTTACACTAAACCAGGGCCTAAATGGTACCACTTCAGTAACTTGAAGTTTCCATTTAATTTCAAATGAAGAGTTAGATTTACATACACTATGCAACCTGTGAACATTACTGATGTGAAACTCCCAATGATTATCATCGTCCAAATGTGTAATAAACTTAAATAGCCTCCTTGTGTTTTATTTCCTTGCTTGTATTTATACCCTCAGGTTGGAATTTTAGACTCCATCTTGTCAGGTTTTTCTAAACGTGTTTTTGTTCTGTGATAAGAACTATTTGAAACTAGGCTAATATGACAAAAATAAAGCTAATTCTCTTTTCTGAAATCTTACCTGTCTTCTGTCCCACTTTAAATATTGTTATACGGTATATGTGGGCCACACATGCAATAAAACCAGATCTAAGGGAAACAGAATTTCTGGTGAATTCTGATTGCTGGTTTGAGTGATAGTATTTCATACCTCATTTTTTGTGCATATACTCTTAACTTGTAGCTCTTTTTATTCTTGTTCTCCATGAGCAGGACTCATTGTTTATTTACTTCTTATGAGGTAGTCTGGTCACTTAGGCAAATATTTTTCCGCACATTCTTTTTTTCATTTGGAATTAGAATAAAGACCTGAGTCACTATTCTAAACAGATTTCTGTATGCAGAAATGTCCTGTGTTTGCCTTTACCTCCCAAGCAGGATTAGAAGATCTATTAAAATTCCATCTAAATGCAAAAGTTGTATATTGTCATAGGCTCCCTGCAGCAACCTCTTAAGTCACAGCAACCTGTTTTATTGTAATGTCAGTAAATGGTAGGAGAAAAATCCATGTGGTATGTATGACAATTTCACTGAATTTGGAGTGTAGTAAGCATGTCTAACCACATATTAACATCCTTTTTGTTTCCTTAACTGTACATTTCCTTTTAATGCAGTCTCCTGGAAGGTGAAACTGAAGCAAAATTAAGTCTGTTTCAACAGAAATTAAGACTTTTGATTCAAATTACTCTAAAGCTTAGGATAAAAGTTGAAGGAAGATTGTGAGTTAACTTTGAGGATGCTTGCTGAGAGGTCTTCCCAGGCATAAGTGAGCGCACAGGCATGTTGTTAGAAAGATATTAAATGGCATGTGAAGTAGGTAGAGAAGGAACTCATTTGTCCTAATAATATGTAAGTAGATGAAAGATTTTTTTATATAATCTGAATGGAGATTTATTTTTAAATAATTTTTTAGGCTTTCAAAATTAGTTTTGTATTAAGTGAGATGACTTGGAATGAACCCATCTGCTTGTAACTTCTCTTAAAAGAACAGGAAAGGAATTGACAAACTGCGTAGGCTTCATAAAAGTATTAAAAAAGAAGGAACAAAGAGCAAAATGTCAACTTAAATTCATAATAAAAAATTACTGTAAGGGTTAGAGTGTAAGAATAGTTATACTTAGAGCAAAAATCCATCCTATCTGGTATCCATCAGCTGTGGGGTATTCAGCCAAAGAACATGAAACAAGTGTAAGGTGGTTCCTCCTGGTTTCTGGCTTTCTCTAATTTCAGGATTTCCTTTGCAAGGTACTATATCTGTATCCTTTTTTCTGAAAGCCCTTTAAGGGCCATACTGTGAATCTCTGATCTTTTTTGTACATGTTTACACTTCAGAATCTACAACAGTCTTGTTCTTGGCAGTTTCCCAATTTAGTTGTGAAATCCTATGGAAAATGTTCTTGTTTTTTTCTCTTTCAGTTTTAAAAATATGCCAGCTTATAGCATGAATAAGAAAACTTTTCTCTGTTGCTAATCACAGAGATGATAAATGATCCAGTCTGTGCCACTCAGTCCCGTTCACCTTCACTTCCTTGATTGTAGCTAAGTTGAGAAGTCCATGTCAATTTAATTGGTTCTCTCAAGGAAGCTATTCCATGTTTCTGATCATCCTTGTTATCCTTTAAGACTCAGAATAATCTGAATTATAAAGTTTTCTAAGTATGAACCTTTTAGGTGTTTGGTGACCATGATGGTTTTTGTTTTTTCTTTTCCATTAGTTCTGCTGGCTTGCAGGTATTCGAGCTGATATGTGAAGACAATTCTGAAAACAGTGACTAAATAGACCTTTCTCAAGGAGCTAAAGCCTGTTTAGAAACTATTATATGGATATTTGAGCAATTACAAATGTTTGTCATCACTATCTGCAAACCAGTGCACATATCATGGGCTTAAACCAAAGGTTTCAACTTTAGTTAGTGCACATTTAATTAGGGCGCGCTTAATGTACGCTAACAATCATAATCAAGCATAAGAAAAGTTATATGTATGGATATAGCATGTCTAATGTAATTTATGAGTACCAAAGTCACAATCACAAAATTGCTTGATTAATATGTGCACTGTTTAAAGTGGCAATGCTCTTCCAAAGGCTCGCTGTTTTTTACCTAATCTTTGACTGTATTAGGCAGATCTTTGATTTACTGGACCCAAGGGGGATGAGATTCTTGCTGGCATCCTTTGAAGTTAGGACTGAATAAAAGCAGCATCAGTTCCAAGTGGCTTCAGAATATAGAAACCCAACCATCTTAAATTTAGGTTCCCAAAAAAGGGAGTCATTAACTGGTTCTGCCAACAGTGCCCTGAAGTGGACCATTCACGTACAAGGTTGGAGTATTACTTCACTTTCAGGCCAGTGAAATACATTTTCCCCCTCCGTTATTGGTCCAGTGTTCAGCATCACGTGATCCTTCTCCAACCCTTGGTTTTAACTTACCTATATAAATATTCTATAATTACATTACTGTTTGCCCTTTTTCTGGAATGCTTATGTGCATGGTGAACAGCACATGCATTTAGGGCTTTTCTGGTAACTTCCTTTCCCTGTGAAAATTAGTAACTTCCTATCCATTGTTGAACCATTTATTAATATACAAGGACAAGTTCCTTCTTATGCCATGCTACCTTCAGGTCTCGAAGAGCAACTGGTGAGAGATCTTGGCACTTGTGTCTTGGAAGTCTAATTGTTCTGTCAACCAGATCACCCCTCTTCATGTGCTTCTTGGGGAAGAAGAGCTATTTGTGAAGCATGGTTTCACATTTGTCATTACATTTATCTGGCTACATACATCTTCTGACTTGTGTTTCTCATAATTTTAATCAATTTTTCTGATATGAAGTTAAGAATATTCTGCAGTTACTTTGGCGTTTCTTGTCAGCCCTTTAAAAAACAAACAAACAAAATAGTAACTAAACTTTTTTTTTTAATTGCTCTTATATTCTTTCCAGACAAAGAAGGTGACCTTACTTCAGTTAATTATTGTAATTTTTTTCCTTTTTTCTTTAAGTAAAGCTTAAGCAATTACTATGAAAAATTTGGGCATGTAGAATGTTAATCTGGAATCATGGGACTCGGAAGTAATTCCTTTTCTGTGGCTTTTGAGTAAACATTTGGGATTAACTCTAGATTTAATGAATAAAAATTACATCCTTCACCTTCTAAGAAAACAATTTCTAATGCTAGCTTTTCAATAATTTTCACCTTGATTTTTTTATTATACTTCGTTAGAATGGTGGGAGCAATAAATACTTTTGCTGCCAAAAGAAGTGGGGAGTGGG